AAGTTCATGGTCTCCTAGATTCCACAGGGTTTCAATTGGTTCCTTTCCCCAGGGAAAATTGTAGTAAAGTTTGTTTCCTTTCCGTCCCTCTTCATCCTGACAGTCACTGCTGCTGAAGTTGGATGGACTCACAGCAAACTGGAAAAGAAAGTTACGTTTGTCTTCTTAACGTATTGAAGTTTTAATTTACCTTTAATCCCATAACTCTCTCTAAAAATTAAAGGTGTTTGAGTTTTTTTTTTTTTTTTTTTAAGAGATGAGATCTCCCTATGCTGCCCAGGCTGGAGTGCAGTGGCTATTCACAGGCCCAATCATGGGGCACTGCAGCCTTGAACTCCTAGGCTCAAGTGGTCCTCCTGCCTCAGCCTCCTGAGTGGCTGGGACTACAGGTACCCAGCTGAAACTTAATTTTTAAAAAGTAAAAATACCGAGTATGCTGCTAAAAATGCTGTCTTTTAGTCTGAAAGAACTTCAGAGAAAAACTGTTGATGCTATCTTGCCTTTTTGTGGCCAACTTATAAGAGGGGAAATTAACCATGAACTAAATGGGATAAAGAAATATGATCTAGTCACCATTCTTATCCTTCTATGAAGTGCTTGATTACTTCATTTATTTTAGGTGGACGTTTGGGGATTTCGTCCCCCGCCCCACCCCCAACCCTGACTTTACCATTATACAATGAGTTTGGGGATTTTTAAGATTCAGGAAAAGGCAGGACAAGAAGAGTAAGACAAAAAAAATGCTTACTTCAACTCTTTTCAGCATATACTAAAATGTAATCATCAATTATAGAACCCTTTTAACTAACACATAGAGTTCAGGGAGGTAGGTAGCAAAAACTGAAGCTGTAAGAGCGGGCCAGGGTCAAACTCCACACCAGCCAGGAATGCTTGGTGAGGGGTCTGAACGCTACCTTATACAGATGAGCTTTATCAACAAATGCATCTGAGCCCAACAAATGTCTTTACCAAAGTAACTTTGTTATCTGGAATAATGAAAATCACCACAAAGGGTCTTTTATTTGTATTTGTTGACTTATTATAGCTGTCTCTTACAAATATAGCATACCCACATCAAATAAAATTTCATTTATAATATAGAAGCCCCTGACACATTAAGACAATTTACCTATTAACTATTAAATTAACGGTAATTATCGTAGTACCTTTCTCCACCACAGGAGTCGATGACGTAACCAGAAATCAAGCCATTGGCTTGAAGTTCTTGGAGAAGTAAACCACACCAATGAAGCTTCAGTCTTCTCACCAATTCTTTAGATACCAAAAAATGTAAGAATGTTAGCTTATTTTAAAATTATATAATCTATCCCAAAGTAGAAACTTCTGATTCTTGACTATTTAAATACAAGGCCAAGTTATTTGCCACTTTTTGTACCTTTTAACACCATCAGGTATCTGCTTAGTGTCAGAAACAGGATGAAAACACACTCCAATTTGAGCAAGGCCGTAAGGTAGCCTCTTGTTTACCAGCTCCAGGCAATTTACATAGTGCTCCAAGGCACCTGTCAAAAGATAAATCAATCATCATATAAATCTGTTCCATAAACCCAAATCATTTTTGTCAATTTATAGACAAATTTATAGTATAATAATGTTAATACAGCAGTACAAGTAGCATGGAGCTATAAAGAAAGATCTTAATTGATTATCACTTAATTTTAGGTAGTTCCTCCCCAACATTTTAATTTGAAGATTTTCAAATCTACAAGAAAATTGGAAGAATACCTATATACAATGAACACCTGTAGACTCTTCATCTAGATTCATCAATTATTAACGTTTTGCCACATTTTTTTTCACTCCCAAACACTTCAGCATGCATCATCTAAAAATAAAAATATTCTCTGCATACCATTATTACACCATTAAAAAGTTAACCATAATACCACAATATCATCTAACATGGCTTTTTTTTTTGAAACAGGGTCTCACATGGGGTGTGTTCATGGCTACTAAGTGTCATTGATTCTAGGCCCTTTCGATGAAGGAAGGAAATACATATATTTTTTAAAATCATGAGTTCATACTGATGTTACCAGTTCACATTTAATAGTATTTTATCCTTGCCTTCTTTTATGTTTTTATCTCTTTTCTTGTACAGTGAAGATCTTTTTTCCTAATAACATTAACCTGTTTTATTTATCCTATAACACACATGAAATAGTTTCAGAATTGTAACTCCAACATTTCTACTTTGAATGAATCTAAGAAAAGTTCAAAATGTCTTTGTAGTTCTTTATGCACTTAGACCACATCCAATTAAATGACAGCACTGTGTTCGAAAGTTACTTGATTTGACAAGTTGTTAAGAGAAACTGGTCCAAAAAAATTTTTTTTAAATCTGTTTAAAGACATAGAAGAGGTACCAAGGCAGCCAGGAACTTGAGGGTCCAAAATTTTGAAAGCAGGGAAGAGCAGAGAGGTGAACTCAACATTTATTGGAGCTTTTCCAATTCTCGAATACCAGAGCTGAGAAGCTGAAATGCTAAGTAGAACTTTCTGCCATATTATGGGCTGGGGAGGTACAAAAAATTGTACTGATACACCCTAGGCTTTCATTTGGGGCATTTAAAGGGCTACACTGTAGTTGAACAGAGCTGAAGTGAAAAGACTGAAGCTCAGCCTCTAATCAGTGTAATCCCTGATTGTATTAAGAAGCTATGTCCCAGGCCGGGCGCGGTGGCTCACACCTGTAATCCTAGCACTCTGGGAGGCCGAGGTGGGTGGATTGTTTGAGCTCAGGAGTTCAAAACCAGCCTGAGCAAGAGCAAGACCCTGTCTCTACTAAAAATAGAAAGAAATTAATTGGACAACTAAAAATATATAGAAAAAAAAATTAGCCGGGCGTGGTGGTGCATTCCTGTAGTCCCAGCTACTCGGGAGGCTGAGGCAGGATCGCTTGAGCCCAAGAGTTTGAGGTTGCTGTGAGCTAGGATGATGCCACAGCACTCCAGCCCGGGCAAAAGAGTGAGACTCTGTCTAAAAAAAAAAAAAAAAAGAAGCTCTGTCCCCACCCTAGCTGTCTACCAGAAGCAAAAGTAAATCTTCCCAGGAAAAAGAAACCACCAACCAAAGCCTCAATTTATCCCTACAATTTTTCATACACAAATTACGTAGAGTATCAGTATAAAAGTCCAAATGACCAAAAGCCCAGAGAAAAACAGATACTAGAAACAGATGGTTTTCAGTTATTAGACAGGGACCTTAAAAACGTGATTAATGGGTCCATTAATCACACATTAATGATTAATAATTTTCCACATCATGTCGGATGATGACAAGATGAGGGGAAAGGTCTAACGTGTGTAATTAGTCACAGAAGTACAGAAGATGGAGAATGGGGCAGTAACAATATTTGGAGACATAATGGCTGAGAATTTTAAAAAGCTATTCATAAGTAGAGGCTACTACAACAGTTCAGACTTGGACCAAAGAGAGCAGCGATTTGCTCTAGACAACCAAAGGATTTGGCAATTAGGTCAGTTTAAGTTTCCTGAAGGTGAGAAAATGCTTGCCACATCAATAGAATAAATGGATACCTAAAAGAGCTAAATCTCATTTTCAAAGTCTGTGCAACTGGGAGGATGGTGATTTCATTCAACAGTGATAGGGAAGAAAAGACTGATTTGTTTTGGGCCATGGTAAATGAGCAGTGATTTAACTTCATCAAAGTAAAGCCATCAGGGAATAATTTAAGTACTACAAATCCAAAGTGTCACCTTTATCACCCGTTTGTTTTACTTTATTTCATTAAGGGAATCTTTAAAAGGCACTGAATTCTCAGAACCAAGAACATTCAGGTTATTTTAAGTTACTTTATAAAAACAAAACGGCAAGGGCAGTATTTTGTAGACACCTGCAGCGAGTTTGTCCTGTAAAGAACCTGAATTTTTTTCAGAATCTCTGCAATTGTGTTGACTTTAAAGGCAAATGATGCCCTCAAATTACTGTGTATTCACCCAAGAATCACTCATAAAGCTTGATTAGTTCTATTATTTGGCAGGCTCAAAAATTACCTAGAGACATCTTCAAACGACAGGTTGTAAATTACGTTTAGTAAGAAAAATTGAGGGAGGATATCTTCCTTTTGGTCTAGAAAAATGAGCTCTTGATTAGTTAATTATGTGTAAAACTGAAGAGTAATTCTGGAAGTACTTGTAACCATTTTGGTAACAATGAACAAATTGTTCAAACACAGGATTGAATTGAGGTCCTAATTCTAGGGCTACTCAACTGAACTCTAAAACTATATGGGTGCCCCATATAATTCCCAAGTCCCAAGACAGAGCGTTGAAATCCTCTGGACAGATTCTTTAAGGAACTGATTCATGGACCAATTGTCTCCAGGGGAGAGCACTATTAATATACTCGACTACTGCAAAAAGGTTTCCTTTGCATGGGAAAAAAGTGCCACTTGCAATCCCCCAAATCGAGTGAGGCTGTCTTTCCACCCGACACTTGTTTTGAAGTACGAAATTGTGAAGCATACCGTGAAAAAGGTTCTCCCGTAGTTTCCCAGAAGTTTTTAATAAGTTCTCAAGAAAAGCCACTAGCTGTTCCTCACTCAGCTCTTTGTCTTGCAAGATTTCTCGTAGAGTTTCTGCAGAGACTAACCTGAAGGCACTGTCCCCGGGCAGTGAAGGGCCTGGTTCGTGGTGGAGGGCGTCCACAGGGAAGACCTGTTCCCTGAACACCACCACCGAGGACCACCATTCTGAGGCAAGATTCTTCCGCAACTCTATGCCCAAGGGTCCAAAGCCAGGGTGGCACCCGCTCAGAAGAGAATCTCGGCTAAGCTGCCTCTTGGTTCCATTTAGGAAATGCCTTCTCTGACAGATCTCTAAGAGCTCCTCGCTTGCCTCTCCAGACTCGGGGGCTTCGGTCGGCTCGCCGTCCCGGGGGAGCTCAGCGTGCGATCCCAGGTGCCCTCCGCGAGAGCTACTGCTTTCCGTCAACTGCTCCGGCTGCCCCCCATCTACTCGCCCGCCAAACCCAGACAGCAGGCACCGGCAGACCTTATGGCAGGCTCTGACTGCTGCACGAGACCGCATCTCCTTCAGGAGTTAAAGAGCACAAGCTTCCATCAGTCGGCTGATCCCAATAAACCGCCACAACGGCAGCAGAACCGGTAGCGGCGACGGATCAGGCGCGACGGAAATGAGCGTGCACGTGGGCGGCAGGCCCCGCCCCGGAAGTGCGTCTGTGCTTTCCGGCTGTGGCCTCCGCAGCCTTCCCCGGCCCGCCATGGGTGGTGCGGCCTGTAATGGCCTTTCTCTGCTAACTTATTCTTCGTCTCGCGCCGCTCCTCCCAACCCCCCAATTGCCGATCCTTTTCCTCTTAAGCACCGGTAAAAGTTACCCCCATCTACTTTTCATTTACCGTGCCATGGCCACTGTTTAGCTTTACCTTTCTCAGTTTCTTGGCAATCCAGATTAACTATCAAAATAATTCGGTGTTTGCCCAGTCACCATTTAAATACACATTTTGCAGTCTAAAGTGTCACGAAAATAAAGTTTGGTTCCTATTTCAAAAGAAAGTTTTAGTACTTTATGGTGGTTTGACGACCCAGGCCTTCATAACTCTAGGCAGCATTGCTGCCATCAGGCCTAATTCCAGAGCAGTTGTCTTGAAGCTTAACCTCTCGGTGCGGTGGGGCTGTGGCGCTGTGTAACGGGGTTAGGGTACTGCATGCTGCAGTGGCTCCGAAAGGGCAGGCCCAGTCAGCAACACTTACATCACCTGGGAATGTATTAAAAACGAACTGCTGAGGGCTCCTCCAACCCCCGCAACGTTTTAAACAAGTTCTCCTAGAGATATACAAAGAACCACTAGGCCCTAATTTCTTCTACCAGAGGACCCTTCTACCGGTTCATCAAAACATGCAACGAGACTTATGAGTGCTTAAAATAGAGACCCATGATTACCTGGCAAACTTGACTTTACAATCTCCATCTAAACAGGAAGAGACCTTAAGAAAATTGTTCAGGTAGTGGAGAAGCGGTATGGCCCATGATTCCCTGTTCTAGCTTCTCTTTAAAGTGGGTATAGGAAACTTTAAAGATTAATAGCCTAGCAGAAAGGAAAAAGCATTAGACTACCGGGAAGGGGCAGTTTATGAGAAAAGGATAATAGCTTAGCAACAGAGTTAATAAAGGAGTTTTTGGCCATGGCTAAGGTGCTGTAGGACGGGCTCAGAAGTAATTCCTTAAGTACGTATAATGGTTTAAAAAAAACTGAAGCTAGAAAGTGGCACAGTATTGCTGGAAAGCAATGACAGTAACTGCAAAGCTGGGTACTATTACCAGGTGTTTTTCACACTCAGAAATTCCCACCAGGGGAAAAGGCCTATTACGCAAATAAATAAAAGAGAGACTGGGGAGAAAATTCATATTTATTAAGACAACCACAGGCTGGACACAACACACATGCTAAAAAGTGGACTGTCTTTTAAAACTTCAAAGGTAAATAAGTAAATGTTTTCCACAGCCCCACAATAATTTCAGTGTTTACAAATTAAAAGGCCCACGTTAAGACATTAAACAGTAAAATATGTAATTAATAAATGCTCCTACCCCAAAAGTTTCTTCTAAGTTAAAAACCATGAATTTGATTTAACCATGCCATTGAAAACCATTCAGGTTACTAGAGGCTGAATTAGATTTCAATGTATTAAGTCCTAGAAATACCACTTCTCATCCCAGCCCCCACCCCCAACAAATCCTAATTTTACATTTTAGACATAAGGCATTAACATTAAAGCCTCAGTTTTATAATCAGAATTTAAATGAAATCTCCTAAGACCTCTCTTCTGGCAAAAACACATATACCAGACTCTCTGGGAAGACATTCAGACCTATTTCTAGCTATTGCTGAAATAAAAGATTAGAAAGCTACGTTGGTGAGCCAAAGTTAAATCTAAAGCTATCCCCTGGATCTATCTAGCAATAAACCGATGTTGAACCTTCTACCATGAAGACTTTTATTTGCTGTGCTTTTGGTTATACTGCCTCGTGATTAACCATTACTTTTAATGAGGTTTTTTTCCTTGTGTTAGTCTGTATGAGTAGATCTCACAGTTTTGGAGATCTCTAAAATTCCCTGAATTATTGGAAAGACATTTTTGACTTCCAGTGTGACTAACAAGCCCCAGAGAGCCTGTGAAGACTAGGATCTGCAAGTAACCTGCACTAAGGATATTGTGCAAATTCAGTCCATTAGCGACTCAAACTTGGCTGTTGGGACATCTTGAAGGTCTAAATTAGTGTTTTGGCTTTGTTCAACATTTCAGTAATTCACAATATAGTCGAGAGCATGAATATAAATCTCTTGAAAAAGTTGTTCTCATATTACACAACTGATTTTGTATCTATTTTACTAGCTCTCATTTAACCATACTAAGAAATAAGGAAAACAGGCTATAAAAGTGACTCTCCTGATGTTGGGAGCTGATAAAACTTTTATGCAATTTAGCCTGTAATTAAAATTCACCTAAACCAATCCATTTTAATTCTGGCAATATGAATAGGTTATTGTAAAGGGTCTGCTAACTCCCCCCACTCCCAACCTCCCAAATTAAAGAATGGAAAAGAACAGTCGTTTAGTTTTTATGATTAAAAAAAAAAAATCTAAGTTTTACATAGCATATGTAAAATAAAGTACAATTTCCACTTAATTCGGTCTTCAAATATTTTTTATTGGAAGGCCATGCATTGCCTTCATTTATTGTATTTCAAATCACTGTACATTTACTTTTGTGAAAACACTGCCTGCATTTTCTAGTACAAAAAAAACCTAAAAATTGTTTCAGGAATGTAGAGAAATATCCAACTTAAATAGCGAAAAAGTGCACCATAATTACTGCTGCACTGCAGTCATTTCTGCATTTCCCATGTTTCTTAAATAACTATCTTGTCTGATAACACACAATATAAAGAGCAATTATGAAAAACAGACATTTACATATACTTCTAAAGTCTTATTGAGAGTATCCGGTTGGCATTGGATAACCAATCATAGGTGCGGCTGCAGTAGCAGGATATGCATATGCCTGTTGGTTCATACCATTGTGCATATTGGGAACATTACTTCCATACTGCTGAGTGCTATCATAACCATTCTGGTAAGTCCCTGTTGGATTACCAGTCCTAAAACTGGTCTGTATACCAGCAGACACAAAATTACTCCCAAAGCTCCCATTGGTGTAATTTGCAGTACTGTAAACACCATTCTGAGTTTTTGCCCCAAAATCTCTCTTAAGCAGGCTAGAATAACCTCTGTCATAATTTTCCCTATCTCTAAAGGTGTTAAATCCACCCCTTTTGCCCGCAGAGTATCTGTCCCGACGGTCATCCTTCATGCCTCCTCTACCCCTGGAACGACCTGTCAAAAAAATAATTGCGAATTAGAATCAATTATGTCTGTGGCACAAATCATTGCATACCCTAAACACGTAAGAATCAGATAGAACTAAGTATGAAATGCTTACACAATTTCTCGGCTTAAGTTTTACACCGAAGATTTTATTCACCCTCCAATAATCCCACTTAAATGGATTTGTAGACAATGATGTGACTCAAAATGACCAAATTTCTTATCAAAAGTTGGTCTTACCTGAACCTCTGTCTTCCACCAACTGAAGCAACTTGGGATTAATTGCTTGATTAGCTTCACGAAGCACAGAGATAAGGTCGCTTACTTGCTTTATGTTATTAGGTGTAAAGAAAGTGTATGCTGTGCCTGTTTTGGTACTGCGAGCAGTTCTTCCAATTCGATGAATATAATCCTCTGAGGAGTTAGGGTAGTCATAATTGATGACAAATTTCACATCTTCCACATCTGTAAGGTGTTGCAGTGTGGCAAAATAGCAATGTACAGAGTTTTGCACACCACAACAGCCAGACCAAAAATAAAAAGTTAGACAATTGTATCCCCAAGAAGGTACGGGCTGCAAAAAATACAGTTAAAATGGTTATCCATTCCTTGTAGGAATACCATTGGGTTGAAAAAAGAAGAAAAAAAAGCACGTGTCATCTGTTTAAGTCTTCACCCACCCAGTGATAAAGCCTGTGAAAAGGAATGTGTATTCCCTAGCGCATTTCCCATATCAGCAAGTCCCCTTACAGATCATCAAGTGACATCTGAATGCTTCTGCGCAGTAGGGCCACTTAAAGTTTCACAGCAATCTCTTCATGTGCTCATTTTGAGGACCCTTAAAAATATACAAGGTCCTTTGCATTAAACATTCATCAGAAGTTCAGAATTCTGGCCACACTGCTTGTCTTGCCAAGACCTTACAACCGCAGCTGCAAGAAAAACATACCTGTCCCCCAAAAGTTGTTTTTATGCACTGTGTCTCGTCTAGGCAAGCGCTTCCAAGAAGCCAGGATTCACTTGAGAATGTGTCTCTCTCTGGCAGGTCTCGACATGACGACTACTGTGTAGGTGAGGGAGGAACTTTCAAAGCACTGCTTTCTTTTCCCACTGACTTAAGTGTGAGAAGTTGCTCCTGCTCTAGATCTCATGTGCCAGTACTCACCAATTGGTAAAAGGCTTAGCACCTTTTAAAGCTGCTCTCTCCATTTCAAACTTGAACAAAAATTTCATTGAACATTGTAGTTTGGAAATATTTCTTCGACATTTCAGCAAACTCACTGAAACTCAAAGACCCACAGATCACAGTCAACAGTTTGAAACAATGCTGTACCATGGCAGTCATGCAAAGCATGGGACAGAAGAAACACCACGGCAGTGAACTGTGAGGGCAACTTCCATTTTTTTCCCCCGGAGAGAACAGTTTACGGGGCAGAGGTGGTATGTTCTGCCTTTTGAAGATTACTGGCACACTTTCAGCTTTTCACCTCTCTAATCGACTGGATGCAGCCAGCCGATCACTAGTCCTCCATCCCCCTCGAGTCCTCCGATTGTCATGCCTAGGCCTTGCCACAAAGACTGCACCTTTATATGAAAAAAACTTAGAAAAAAACGCAGAGGTTAAAGAAAGCAATAAACTTTCTTTAAAAAATTATATGGAGATCTTCTGGGAAACCAAGCCATGAATGCGAGTTTGTACTAACCTAGCCCGCGGGAGGCCACATCTGTAGCAATCAGAATAGGAGCTTTTCCATGTTTGAATTCTGCAAAAGAAGG